GTCTACGCAAACAGTGGCCAAGCCGGGGCTTCACGCGAAAAAGGTTCTTCTGAGTATCTGATGGGATTTTAAGGGCGTGGTATATTATGAGCTTCTTCAACCAAACGAAACCATCAACGCGGCGAAGTACAGCCTTCAACTGGACGAACTGCCATCGCACGGAAGCGCCCTGAATTGGCCAACAGGCGTGGAATTGTTTTCCATCATGATAACGCCAGACCTCACGTCGCAATGTCTATCCGTAGGAAGCTGTTAGACTTCGAATGGGACGTTCTTCCTCATCCTCCATATTCTCCCGACCTTGCCCCATCTGACTACTATCTATTTCTTTCTTTAAAAAATTTTCTTCGGGATAAGAAATTCGAGTCTTTGAAAGTCCTCAAAAGTCATCTTGATAAATTCTTCGCCAATAAGAAACCTTTATTTTGGAGCAAAGGCATCATGCAGCTTCCTGAAAGATGGGCCAAGGTCGTTGAACAAAACGGTACATATTTGCTTCAATAAAATTCTTCTTTGTGTAAAATATTGCGCTCTTAATTTATTTCAAAAATTTTAAACGAACTTTCCGAACAACCTAATATATAACATAACATATATGTACGAGGGTCGTTCAATAAGTCCTTAGAAAAAGATAGAAAAACAAATTATTTTGGGTAGATTGTTTTTTATTTTTCAACATAATCTCCTTTTAGTTCTATACACTTTTCCAAGCGTTTCTCTAACTTTTTTAAGCCGTCCAAAAAGTAGGATTTCGGAAGGTCCTCAAAATAGGCATCTGTTTGGGCGATGACCTTCTCGTTCGACGTAAACCGTTGTCCGCCGAGCCATTTTTTCAAGTTTGGAAATAAAAAAAGTCACTGGTGGCCAAATCCGGTGAATACGGTGGATGTTGTAATAATTCGAACTTTAATTCCATAATTTTGGCTATCGAAAACAGGTATGCACCCGTGCATTGTTTTGATGGAAGAGGATCTTTCTCTTTTTCAAATGAGGACGTTTTTTCTTGATTTCTTCGTTCAACCGGTGCAATAACGACGCATAATACTCTTCAATTATTGTTTGTCCTTTTTCCAAGTAATCGGTGTAGATGATTCCGCGTGCATCCCAAAAAACCGTGGCCATCACCTTGCCGGCCGATTTCACCGTCTTCGCCTTCTTCGGAGCCCGTTCGTCTTCAAAAACTCACTGTTTTGATTGTTCCTTTGTCTCTGGAGTGTAGTGGTGTATCCATGTTTCGCCCACAGTTATGTATCGACGTAGAAACTCGTCAGAATTGCGACGGAAAAGCGCCAAAACAGCCTCAGAGTCGACTACACGATTGCGTTTATTCTCCACTGAGAGCAAATGCACCTATCTTGCCGAGATTTTTTTCACACTCAATTTTTCGTGCAAAATTGAAAACACTGTACCTTGCGATATGCCTGTGGCTTTAACTATTTCACGCACTTTGATTCGTCGATCACTCAAAACCATATCGTGGATTTTGTCAATCATTTCGGGGGTAGTCACTTCCACTGGACGTCCCGAACGATGTTTATCTTTTGTGGATGTACAGCCACGTTTAAACTCATTTACCCAATTGTAAACAGTTGCAAACACAGGAGCAGATGTGCCATGAACTTCATCTAACTCAGCTTTAATCTCTTTCGGTGTTAAGCCTTTTAAATATAAGTGTTAATCACCACTTGAAACACACTTTTTTCCATTTTTCTAAATAAAGAAAGGTTTGTTGCTTTAATCGACAATAAAAATGAAACCATGTGATGGATATAACTGAGACTTTAACAGCTGTCTAGTGAGTAATGATGCTTACTAAAAACAAACCATTTTCGATACTACGAGCGCAATCTCTTGGATTTTCTAAGGACTTATTGAACGATCCTCGTATATAACATAATTTTTACAAGTAAAAATTATATCGTATTATAAAAATTTAACACGTTTATTAATAGTGTCCAATATTAAAAAAAGGATATCTGTTTAAAGGTTATTATTATTCAAGAAAAACCTAACTGCAAAAAATGTCCATAACATAATTTTTTACAAGTAAAATTTATCATTATTTATTAGAATACTGAGTCATATGGTTATTTCACTTGTTATTATAACAAATTAATTATTATAATAATGCAATAAAAAATATAGAATACAAAAAATCTTGGCGCGGCTGCACCAAAAGCTATATCGAAGATGTATGTACATAAAAGTCAAATTACATATCATTGACACTTCGTCAATTACAATAAGAATAACATCTTTGAATAAAAAGATATCAAAATATGTAGAATATATATACATTCGATATGTATATTCTATAGGTTTATAATTTATTATAACCAAAAACGAACGATTGCGATGTGCGCGAGCTATTATATATTTCACTCATATGGGAACTTCAAGTTCAAATAAAACTATTCAATACCGCGCTATAAATATAATATATGTCGATAGAAGATGTGTCAAGTTAATTTTAACAAATATATAATATTATTAATATTCAATACATTCTAATATTATTTTGACATACCTATTTTAAGAGTATTTTACATTAGATGTATTTGTAAAGAAATGGTTTATATTTTACTATTTATATTTACTTTTGGTTTATATTTACTATTGTATGAGTTTTAGACATTTTAATATTAGAGAAATGTTTCACCGATAAACGAGTAATTACTCTATATAAACTTAAATAAAACATTACGCCGTGTATGTATAGAGAGAATTTACAAGTACATTTTATTGTAATAAAAATGATGTCATGTATGTATTAAACAAGTTTTAGTTCGATATAGTTTTTGGTGCAGCCATGCTAGGATTTTTTGTATTAAATATTTTTTATTGTATTGTTATAATGATTAATTTGTTATAATAATAAGTAAAATAACCATATAACTCAATATTCTAATAAATAATGATAAATTTTACTTGTAAAAATTTATGTTATGGACATTTTTTGCAGTTAGGTTATTCTTGAATAATAATAAGCTTTAAACAGAAATCTTTTTTTTAATATTGGACACTATTAATAAACATATTAAATTTTTATAACACGATATAATTTTTACTTGTAAAAACTTATGTTATGTACATATATATCTTAAAAGAAAAATAATTTTAAAGTTTTTCTTGTAAAAACTTATGTTATATACATAATATATATCTTAAAAAAAGGAAATAATTTGAATTTGAGATTTCTAAAAATATTAAGTATACAATAATCATATATATATGTTAGGTTTCTCAGTTGGCGCTACTGTTTTAATATATCACTTCTTTTGTACAGTAGAATAGTGTTGTAGAGTTTTATTATAGTTATAAGTTCTATTTGTAAAAACTTATGTTATATATACATATGTATCTTAAAAAAATAATTTGTATTTGAAATTTCTAAAAATAACACAATACGTGTTGCGCTTGTACTTGGCGCCTTTTTTTACCTTTTTATTTAAAAAGGTAAGTTTTATAAATTTTACATGTAAAAACTTATATTACGTACATTTTTTGTCGTTAGGTTTTTCTTGAAGAATAATAATAACTTTTAAAAAGATATCTTTTTTATTGATTTTTCGATGGCACGGCTCATCATATCGTCTGCTTAGCATCAGCTAACCGGCAATCAAATTCGAATCAAATGCGAATATTCTCTCATTATTATTTTGACATTCCCTCTTTCACTCTCCCCCCTCACACTCACAACTTCACCTGTCTCTCTCTCTCTCTCTCCCCTCACTCTCACTCTCTCTGTCTCTTTCTCCCTCCCTCCCCTCCTCCTCTTTCTCCTTCTCTTTCTCACTCCTCTCTCTCTCCCTCATTCTCCTCTCCCTCCTCTCTCTCTCTCCCTCCTCTTTCTCTCTCCCTCCTCTCTCTCTCTCTCTCTCTCTCTCTCTCTTTCTCTCTCGCACATTTTCTCCTATACTGTATTCTAGCATATCTCTCGCTTACTCGCTCGTATTCGCTGCTGTCTACTTCTTCAGCGCTCTCGTAGCGCCCCTGGTGTCGGGAAAGCAATGTGCACGCATATACCCATTCCTCTGCGTCTGACATTTCTTATTGAATCGAAATTTTCCGTGATTCAGACTTTATCTTAAAATGCCTCCACTTAGAAACAACGTACACAAAAAGCACAAGAGCACTTTTCTTCCTATCTTTTTAAGGCCGAATCGATTGGGACTAAAAATACCTCGATCGGTTCAGCCATTGGTGAGATATGAATATCTCACCTCGTTTCAACTCGCAGTTTCGCGTAATATAGGCACAGTGTGAACCACTATGAAAGAAGGAGGGCGTACTAGGTGGCGACGGGACGCCGTGTGTTCGGGACCTGCATCTTATTTTTGTTCCGAAGAGAAAAAATATCGAGAGCACGATAGTCGCTAGATCTGGTCTTTTGCTTGCCGGGCGACTGCTTTAACCACTGAGCTACCTGACGCTCACGACATTCTCCTCTCCCTAGCCGTTTTTTTTTTATCAAGAGGCACGGTAGTGCCTCTTAATAAAAACGGCTATCAAAATAAGAAAAGGAAAACATAGATCACTTTTAACACAATCCCAATGGTCAACACAATAATAATCCTGCAAATAGCTTTCTAGGATACTATTTTACTTTTTTTAATTTCGCTTTTCGAAATTATGCACGCCCACCAACTTTGGTATTATGACTATTCAGAAAATTATCCCTTAGAGATTATCCCTTTGAGAACAATGTATGTCCACTAGAATTTTATATAAGAAACTATATTATATTGTATGCAAGTAATACGTATATATAAGATAATTATCATTAACATTATAATAATATTATAATAATTATAATAATACTTACTACAAGAATGGTTATTCCAATTCAAATTATTTCACAAAGCAATTGTAATCGCAAGTGTCATATAAATGAAAATATTTTTTCCTCAGTATATAATTTTCACATACAATTTTCTATTCCTTATTTTCAAGTGCTATGATAATCCATTTATACGATTTTATATTTTAATTTTAGATTCTTATTTGAGCGATGCTATTCCTTATGACTGTATACAAACTTGAAAACTTCCGTCGGTAAATTACAATGAGAACAATTACAACGAGGTGCTAAATGCACGTTCCTGAAGGTTTCTATTCTGTCTACGTGTGCGTGGATTAACGTCCTCCTTAAAAATAATATATGTGCCTGAGACAATCGCATCATCGAAGTATTCCGACAATTGAGGATCAACGATAAACACGATATCTCGATAATGCCAAACGAAATCAAAAACAGAGTTTGCAAGTTCATCGATCGATACACAGTATGTAATAACATGACGATGCTAATTTACCAGAACACACTTACTGACCTTATAGCTGCAGAACGACGCGAATCATGAGAACCATTCAGACTTTGGATAGCGTCTCCTTTCACTTAAGGGAATGACGCGGGACACGATATAACATCAGAAGCGTGCCAAGAAAGTTCGTTTATGCATCCGCCGCGACTCCGCGACAGACGAGCCGGAAGTACGCCCACGATTTCAGTCGGCGTCCGGAACATCTCCGGCCGGAGCACCGCTTCGATTGATTCAAGAATGAGACACGTCACGATATTATGAGACACTTGGAGAACTGTTTAAACGGTTTATCCAGGCGGACGTCGAAGAAGTCCTGCGAGAAGGCGTCACGGCGCTTAAGGTCCTTGATTACCAAAGCTAGAAGGTGGGGCCTGACGACCGAGGAGGTTGCTGAGCTGTCGGCAACAAAAAAATTAGTGCCGCCCCGCGTCACCTCGACCTCGACCATATGGACAACCTTGGCTATGATCTCGCTGCTCCTCGCCGGTGGCATCATCCTCGCATTCATTTGCGCTCCCTGCGTCACACGAAATAAGATATGAGGTTGAATTTGATATATGGTCCGACAGATTCAAAAGAGATTCAATGCAAATAGGTAAGCCATTGTTAATAAGATATTGTATGTGTTTATAAAAGAAATTAATTATTTATTAAGTGTACAACTTTGCTTCCGTCGTTTTTTCCGAAATTCGAGGCTTTATTGTAAAAAACTGGTTATACATTTATGATTCAAAGTATTGTCTATCGTTGGCCACTACTTTCTCCCATCTTTCAGGCAGCATACGAATCTTGCGTTGAAAAAACTGGTCATCTTTTGAAGCGATTCATGAATCGATTCAATTTCTTACTTCTTCATAAGAGCGGGAGTGCTGGTCAACCAGGCCGTGTGGCATTGATCGAAACAAGTGATAGTTAGAAGGAGCAACGTCTGGAGAATATGGCGGATGGGGTAGGACTTCTCATTTCAACGTTTCCAAGTATGTCTTGATTACTTTCGCAACATGGGATTGAGCATTATCATGCTGCAAAATCACTTTATCGTGTCTCTCGTTGCATTGCGGCCGTTTGTCTTTCAATGCTCGGCTCAAACGCATTAATTGCATTCGATAACGATCGCCTGTGATTGTTTCAGTCGGTTTTAACAGCTCATCATACACTACGCCGAGCTGGACCCACCAAATACAGAGCATGACCTTGGTGCCGTGAATATTCGGTTTGATCGTCGACGTGGAAGCATGGCCGGGATATGCCCATGATTTTCTGCGCTTGGGGTTATCGTGATGAACCCATTTTTCGTCCCCAGTCATAATGCGATGCAGAAATCCCTTCCGTCTTTGCCTTTCAAGCAACTGTTCACAAACAAACAAACGCCGTTCAACATCTCTCGGTTTCAACTCGTATGGCACCCAATTTCCTTACTTCTGAATCATTCCCATGTCTTTGAGGCGTTTTGAAATTGCTTGTTGATTCACTCCCAATGATCGTGCCAATTCTTTTTGACTTTGACACGAGTCTTCATTAAGTAATGCCTTCAATTCTGCATCTTCGAAAACCTTCTCTCTTCCACCGCTATGCCGGCCTTCGACGTGAAAATCACCGTTCTTGAAGTGTTGAAACCACTCACGACACGTTCTTTCACTAATAGCGGCCTCACCATACATATTTGAGAGCATTCGATGAGCCTCAGCCGCAGATTTCTTCATATTGAAGCAGAAAATTAAAACCTCCCGCAAATGACGAGAATTTGGCTCGTAAACTGACATTTTCAATCGAGAATAACTTTATGATGCAGACACAAATCGACTAATGTTTCTATGGGGTTATATTGACAGATACCCAAGTTTATTGCATGACGTCTATGATCTATTTATTTCGATCACTACTTACCGCTAAAGCTATCTATAGGAAAGCGGCGAAAGCAAAGTTGTATACCTAATATAAAAAATATTGTGGCTGTTTTATTTTAATAATGATAATGATAATGATAATGATAATGATAATGATAATGATAATGATAATAATAATGGGATTCTTAGAGTAAGGATAGCATAATTCAAATTAAAACATTTAATTTATATTATTTATATTTTGCATGATTAAAACGTAGTTTCTCGATACAAACAAATGATTAACTGTAAAAGGAAAGCAACAATCATTTAACTATTTGATTATTTAATGGAAATTTTTAAACACCGCGTTTTTTATATAAATATTATAATAAACATACTGTTAATAAATAACGTACTATTTTTTTTTGTTATAAGGAAAAAGATATATGTCCTTTCTTTCTCATATTTTCCGCTATAACAAATATTTTTTTATTGCAAATGTCTCATTCTCTTGTGGAGAATGCAATATTACATAATTGACATAACAATAATGACACTTTTATAATAACATGGACCGCATAAATAGAGTTCATAGACACTTTTTATTTTATATCCGATAATTTCAAATGGAAACATAGTTTGAGTTGTTATATCTACATATATAGAAATCCCGACGTTTATTCAGCAGATGACGTGTATATTTTTATCAATTATTTCATATAATCTAGATGCGCTTTATAATGCAGCGAAATTTTAATTATATATAAAATAAATTAGATATGAAATAAATTAATAATAAACATAAAACAGATACTTCATGGGAAATATGGCGGAATTAAAATATTTTGATTAATCGTTACATAGTATAAGTAATGTTTACATGCATTATAAATGAATAATGGCGTCTCGAACAAAGCTGCTCCGTAGAATTCATTGCGCGTTTTATACTTGTTAATGAAAGCCTTTGAAACTACGCGTTTGCGTCCTGTAGTAAATTTCCATTGTGTCGCGCTTAATATAATCATTGAAAGCCATTATGATCCAAAACTACAATGACCAATTTTATACAAAGCGCAGATTTGTAATACATGCGGTTTATAATCGAGGCAGAAATACTTCATATGTAATCCCAGAATTTGTTTGTTAGCGTTTAAACGATATATGTTAAACTAAAACGAGATTTAACTGCTAAATAATTCAAAACAGTAACTAAAAGTCGCATAATCTCGATAAATTCGACTTTGGTCATAAAGAATACAAAAGAAACATACCATCCCATGTCAATTATCATGGTTACAATGAAATACAAAAATTTCTTTCGTGTATTTATAATAATATCTGGAAATTTAAATTCATTAGTTAGTTACAACATACTTACACAATTCCTTGATATAAAGCGACCTATTGACACAAAAAGAAACATGAAAGAAGGAAAGAGAAAAGAGAAAGAGAAAGAGAGACGGCGCATGTCCGCGCGTTTATACGCCGCACGATTTTAATAGTCAGTGCGTAAAATACAAAGTTACGCACACGCCAGACATCAAACATTTTAACCGTTATTCCATGCAGTCGTATATTGTAAATTTTTCATGATTTTCATAATGTCTAACCTTTATTACCGCGCCCATATTTGTCCGTGCATAAATGCTCCATGTTGTGCAACACCGCACGAGCGATAAAACCGTTCATTAATTAGTCGCCATAAAAAGCAGCGTTATTTATATCACCGGATGAAAAAAGTCTCTCTCTTTTTCTTCAGCTTTCTGTTTTTCTTCCTTTTCTGTTTTCTTTACTTTTTCTTCTTGTGCCCGCTAAGTCGCGACAGTTAGCGGGCAATGGCAGTGATAGTGGCGAAAACGCATAACCACCACCACGCAACGCCACCATCGTCGGCAACGCAATTGCCGGAAGCGCGCTAATTAAAAGCCCAACGTATCGTTCATCATCATACGCGGCGCTGATTATCCGCCCCATTGCCCTCGTAAATTTCTAATTTAGACTCCGACGAATTTATCCGCGATGTTCTCTCGTGTGCGTTGCCAGCACGTGACCGACCTCTGCAACGGCGCGCATAGTAACAATACCTCGCGTTACACGGTATGCCAGAGGATAGCGACCGCTGCATAGGCGTTTCAATTATTTTACAGCTCACTGAATTTACATAACGGAATAGCCCGTGGTATCGTCGGTTCATTATTTATCGGCATCAATCGGTTAAAGCGCAACGGCCATGCAGGTTCACGCCGTCTAATGGAGATTGCAGAGTATAGTTCGCGTTCTTGTTTGTCGACGATCGACGATTTCCAATCGTCAATCGATTTGTTTTTCAAAGTCGAATTAACGAATAGAAAAGGGAACTCACGTTCCCAAGCATATTAGGATGTAATTATCCGGAGCGCCATTTTTTGCCATATACGAAACGAATTGTCGTGCCGTTCTGTTTCATTCCCTACAAGTGTACTTTGAAATTATTTACAAGTTTAAAATTTCATGGTATTACTCAAAGATAAAACTAATTTTTGAATGCCACATCAAAGACACGTATAAATTTTATTTTCTACACGAGCAAATAAATGTTCGATATAGCATATAGCATATATAAGAATAATTACATAGAAATAAAAGAGAGAAAGAGAGAGAGAGAGAGAGAGAGAGAGAGAGAGAATTACAGTTTTCCCTAATATAAATTTTCTTCAATTTTATTATATTTTTAGTAGTACAAAAATGGATTATTTGTACAATTTATTTTGCTTAGGAATATAATAATTTTTTAATAATAGACTGAAAAATGGTCATGAAATTTTAACTATAAAATTTTTACTATAAAAAACTATAATAATTTTTACTATAAAATTCTCTGGGTATAGTAATACATTATATAAATTAATAATTTTAAGAAGGAAATATTCCTCAATTTTTCGGTTATATTTTCTCTATTGTAATTATTTAAGATACGTTTGAAGAGAAAATGATGCTCAACATTCTCTCTCTCTCTCTCTCTCTCTCTCTCTCTCTCTCTTTCTCTATCTATCTATCTATTTATCTATCTATCTATCTATCTTTCTTCCATCCTCTTTTTTAAAGAGATATCATATATCAATTACATACTACATTACGAATAACATTTATGAGACAGAACTTATGAGACAGAACTTATGAATTTATGAGACAGAAGAAATGAGAAATTCGTTAAATGAGCATCATTTCTGGATAAAATCGCCGAACGCCGCATACTCATATTATACTCACATTACAATGTGAGTTCAAGTGTGTTATTTACAGTATATTATGTTAATTCCTTATTTCGCATAAACTGCGGAGGCAAACTAAGTAGCTATGTATATTCATACACGAACGTATGTCGAAACTTACTAACCCCCGTATAATGCCAAAATATTGTCTGGGATTTACGTATAGGTCTAATAAGGCGGTAGATTGAACCTAATTCTTTGACTTAAAGTCATAACGTAAATTTGCCGCAACATTGCATGCAAGGCCCTCGCGAACCTATGAAATGCCAAATGGATATTTTGCACGTTTGCACGAATTATTAAATAAAATTATCGTCCCTGGAGAATTATTGAGAATTATCGATTAAAGGCATATCGAAATCTTGCGATATATATGACATATCATCTTAATTTAATTCGTCGATTATGTTGCAGACAGAGGAACGATATAATGAAAACGAAGGA